CATATCTCAATGTTGAACTCCAAAAATATGTACAATCAATTTGGATTCAATAAATAAATTTAAAAAAAAAAAAACAATAAATAAATAAATGTGTAGGTCTCCCTCCACTTGACCACGATGAAATAAAACAAAGCAGTGAGAGAAAGGACATATTCCAAAATCATTTTTAAAAAAAGGAAGAGTAGGTGGGGCCTGTAGAGCTCATTGAAGAGCTGGCCAATGACCTTGAGAGCAATGACTCCTCTGTTCATTAGTGACATCATAAAATATAACCAGAATAAGTGGCAAACTCTCCCATGTCTCAGGAATTACGTTAACCATTTATCAAATTTAACTGTGGAAACAGATCGCTTTATGCTTTTGAATAGTATATGCCATGTCTAATGACAGAGGTAGAAAAGACACACAGAATTTCACTTCTTCACAGGCACACTGTTAACATCATGCAGAAGTCCACACTGGAAATTGAGTTATATCAGAGAAATGTGAACTGCCCCAAGCACCCCCAGCTCAGAGGAGGTCTCTTCATGGTGACAGACAGGGAAATGTCAGGCTCTTGGTGACCCGGTCTATCCCCCCTAGAGGATGAGCTCAGTTGCCTCTATGCTAAGTACACTATGAACTGGACAAACACTATCGCTCTAGAAATCGTCAAAGTCAAATTCCATTAAAAAAACCCCAAGATGCTCATTTTGTGTTTGAAGAGAAGACTCTCACCTGCCAACGGAGATACTTATAGTCCATGTGCCCGACAAACAGCGACTTGGTCGTAAAGGCGTAGGGCTGCACGTCCACATCTGCTCGTGTCACCTTAAACAAAACCACCAACACTCCCACAATTACCAGAGCTCCACACCTCATTTCCCCTCACACAATGAACACAGGCATCCGGAGGTTATCAGGACTAGTTTTGGCAGGAACAAAATGCAAGAGACCTCACCTGACTGCACTGGGTAGGACAGCAGACACCAGCCTCCATCCATGGCTGGGCTCCTCTTCCTTCATACCAGCATGACCCGGAAGGTGTCAAGAAGGCGAGGGTAGCCCAGCACTGGGGGGATGGCCATCATCCCCCTCACCCTCCCACCTCCTGCCTCCTCCTCCCCCAGCAGTGCCCAACGGAGCTCTCTGTGATGATGAGAATGTTTTACATCTGCACTAGCAAACTTTCGATATATGGTTCATGTGACTGAGCAACTCGACTTTTTATTTTGTTTAATTTAAATTAAAACTTAAAAGTCACCTGTGGCCAGTGGCTGCTCTACAGTCATGTGCCCATAATGAAGTTTTGGTCAATGATGGACCGCACACACAATGGTGGTCTCATAAAATTATAATATCATATTTTACTGTGCCTTTTCTATGTTAAGGTATGTTTAGACACACAAATACCACTATGTTACGACTGCCTAGCGTATTCAGTACAGGAACATGCTGGACAGGTTGGCAGCCTAGGTGTGCAGTAGGCTGCGACATCGAGGTTCGTGTGAGTACACCCTGGGATGTTCATACAAGGAAAAAAATTGCCTCACGATGCGTTTTTTAGAACACATCCCCATCATTAATCAATTCCTGACTGCATTAGCCCCAGAGCTCTGGCCAGTCGTGGCAGGGTCCGAGCTTACAAGGATTTGAAATGTCAGCGAGGACCTGCAGACCTTTGCTGGTCACTGTGTCATAGCAACTTGTAGACAAAGCCTGTAAATTAGCCCCAAAGCAAAAGTGTTCTTGGCACCAAGTAAGCCATACACATTCAACATTTTTTTCAGTACATGAGCTGTTGCTGGTTGCAAATTGACATTTTAAGTGCTATTTCTACTCTTTTCAGGTTCCATGAGCTCAGCTAAACTGTCCTGAAACACTACTGAGTTACTTAAATGTTACCCATGAATCCTAATTAATAAATTCACTCAAGTAAGGAGAGACTCAGCCACTCACCACTACAATGGACCACAGAGTTTACATGAAAGGTGACATAGCAACCAGGGGACAAATCACCCAACAAGCAGTGCAGACAGGGAGACCCCAGCTCAGGGAGTGCCATTTCCCATGGGGACCCCTCTGGCAAGACCATCCCCAGACTACGCTGATAAACTGTGAAAAGCTCTCTCAAAAGAAATGGTAATAGCAACATAAATCTAGGTTCACAAAGTTAATCCTCCCATAGAGGAACTCAGGTGTGCTCACGTGTCAGGTCCTCCTGCTGACCAGGGTAATGTTTACTCAAGGACTAACTAGTTCAGGGAGTGCCATTTCCCATGGGGACCCCTCTGGCAAGACCATCCCCAGACTACGCTGATACACTGTGAAAAGCTCTCTCAAAAGAAATGGTAATAGCAACATAAATCTAGGTTCACAAAGTTAATCCTCCCCTAGAGGAACTCAGGTGTGCTCACGTGTCAGGTCCTCCTGCTGACCAGGGTAATGTTTACTCAAGGACTAACTAGTCAGCCGAAAACATTACCAAGGTCATCCTAAATCTCACGCAGTCAAAATACTCAGCACTTTGACCAAAGACGGTTAAGATCTCTTGCCTTGTAATAGAAAACACACCAACCTTATTGATGAAGCTGGACTTCCCGACATTTGGATACCCACACAGAAGCAGAGTCCTCGTATTTGGATCAATTGTTGGCAAACGGGATAAATGCTGGCGCACTGTGAAGTTTAAATTCAAAAATTAAGAAACTCAAAGCTTAGGATTTGCTTGAAATTTCCTTTTCAACTTAGATACATTCCAGGCCTGTAATTACATTCACCTCATGCTAACTTTTATAATGCAAAAGTGATGGAGAAAATATAAATTAATGAAGGACCTGTTCCAGAGATCAATGGGATATTCAATAGCACTTCCCAAATTTGGCTATACCAAGAATCATATTTCTAGGTCCCACCAACTTTATTTTGATTCAATAGGTCAAAGGTGGGGCCCAAAACACCTGTCTGAAAATGCTTCTTATGAAGCAAGACAGTGTTTGGAAGACAGCATCTTTTTAAGTGTGCGTGCCACCACTTCCTGGCTACAACATGGGCTGTTTCCACAACTGCCTAGTCTGTGACAGACACAGGTCCAGAGCAGCACCCACTGAGCCATAATGGAGACGAACAGATCTGTGTGAAAGCTCTCTCAAAGCATCCAGGGATCATAAATATTGTCAAAAATTATTTGCAAGATACAGGGGGAGGAAGAACAAAACCAAATGAGTCAAAATATAGGCTGAGCATCCCTAATCCAAAAACCCAAAATGCTCCAAATCCAAAACTTTTTGAGCACCGAAATGATGCCTGGTGGAAAATTCCATACCTGACACAATATTTTTTTGACTGTCAGTGGTTTGTCATGTTTCTACTGTTAAGTACTGATCTGTGAATAAGTGTGAGAAAATGATTGCTTATTGGCAGCATATAAACTCAGAATCAGGAATGATGGTGACCCCAAACGACCACAGACTATCCCCGTAAATGGCTGTGACAGTGACAGCTTTGCTTTCTGATGGCTCATGTACTCAAACTTTGTTATGCATAAAATTATTAAAAACATTGCATGAAATTACCTTCAGGCTATGTGCATAAGATGTATAAATTTTGTTTTCAGACTTGGATCCCATCCCCAAGTTATCTCATTATGTATATGCAAATATTCAAAAGTCCAAAAAAGTCTGAAATCCAAAACACTTCTGGACTCATTTCAGACAAGGGATACTCAACCTACAATCTGTAGTGTAAAAACACAAGCATGTAAAAAGGCAAGTAACTGTTTCAATAAAATCCTACTACATTAATTCAGAAATTGTCCTTATAAATAAAAGCATTATAAATAACAAAAATGTCAATAACAGGTAAAACTATGAGCCATTTCACTTCTAGATATTTTTCAGTGTTTTCTCATAATTTGTTTGTCTTACCTGTTAAATATGGAAAAGCATAAATTTTCTTAATAGTGCTATTAATCTGTAAGCATTGTAAGTGCTGGGCACTTTTTCAATAATAACCAGCCCATTAGAATTTCTTATAGGCTAGGCTAGGAAAAATAATTTGACCCTATGATCTAGACAAACACCTCAAGAATAAGTCCTCAACAAGGATCAAGTATCCTAACAGAACACACCAGAAACCGTTTCTGCTTCTGTGTCACAAGTACCTTGTTCCAAATATTCCAGACTCTGCTTCTGTCTCTTGATGACAGTGCACATCCGCCCCAGGGCAGCCCGCTTCAGCTGCTTGCAGCGGTACAGAGAGTCCCCATATTTCATAAGCCGCACGTAGTCTTTCGCAACACTTGAACAAAGAGCGAGTATGTAAGATTTCCCCCACTTTTGACAATAACTTAAAAGAAACCATAGTAAAAAATGCCTTACTTGTCTACTAGATTTTTGGCAATATTTATTTGTCCTAGAGCCAACTTGTAATGATCCTTGTCATAGAGAATATTCATTAAATCGGCATAAAATGGGTGGATATCCTGTAACAAACAAGCAGACAGCAGTCACTTTGGTCCAACAGTGTCTCATCCCTACATGCAAACAGCCCTTAGAGAATAATTTCCTTCTTCTTTCTCCTCAAATCTGCAGAGCCTCTCCAACCCCCGCTATCCAGGCCAACGACCCCTTCTACCCGCTCATCCTCGTCCCCTTGTGGTGGCAGAGTGCCCCACGTGCACAACAGCCTACCACCTCCTGCTCTCAGGACCTCAGCTCCAGAAATTCTGCCTTCCGCCTGACCACTCCCAGCAGCCTACAAACAGGCTGTTACTCCCCAGACTTTTTTAAAAAGTTTAAAACTCCTTGACCCCACAATCCTTCCAACTCCTGCCCCATTTCTTTGTCCCTTCTTGGCAGATGCTGGAAAAGGGACACTGGTCTTCTTTCCTTCTCTCTCACCAGTTCTGCCAGCCACTCCATGGCTCACCAGTGACCTCCCCATCTCCAGCTCTTACTTCTCATCTCTCTACACCTCTCAGCAGCACTAAGGGCAACCCTTCTCCCTTCCTGAAGCATTTTATTTAACTGGTTTCCTGGACACCTGCTCTCCTCTCTAACTCCTGTGCTGGTTTGGCCTCAAAGCCCAGCTCCAAACATTCCAGTCCCCGCCGCACTCTGCTTTCTATACTCACTTCCTAGGTGATCTCAGATTCTAAGTAACATGGTCAAGGTGCTAAGGCCCACAACTTCAAAGTCATCTCCATTTGTGGAGGGTACTAACATTAATAAAGCACATGTATTTCACAGAGCCTTAACCTTTAGCCTAGTAGGGCCACAGCCCTTAGAAGGACCAGTCCTTAGATCAGGCTGTAGCTTAGTAGGATCTTTATTCTAGTAGGACAACAGCCCTTAGCTGTTAGAAGGGCCAAAGCCCTTTAGTTTAGGCTGTAGCATAGTAGGACCACAGTCCTTAGTTTTAGCAAGGCCAAAGCCTTGTAGTTTAAGGAATAACCTAACCTTTTAGTATTGCACATAGAAATGCTAAGCTTGGGAAAAAACAGAAAACTTTCACAGGACTAAAAAGTCTGTGGTATAGATATGAAAACTGTAACACAGCAAAAGTGCTTGCTAAGAGCAGATGCCCTTGGTGCAGCTAAACCTAATTATGAGAGTATGTGAGTTAAAAGGTTCAAGGCTATTCTGCCAATTAGTGGTTGATTCCAAATTTCACTTTCAACTGCTTCTCTAAGTTTCCTAGGGAACTAAGTGTTGCCATAACGATTATCTCATTGGTTCTTTTGTATGACACACAGCTTAGTTTTATGACTCCTTTGATGGTAAATTGCTTAAACTATTTTTAAGTTGTACCTGCTTTAATGAAAATTGTTATGTAGCCAGTTTGTTTAGTGATTAACCACCTGTGTTCTTTTCTGTAACTTTTTGGCTGGACAATAAAAACCGAGGAAAACCTAGTACAGGGTTATTTTCCGAGGAATGCATCTCTCTTGAAGAAGTCGTCTCCTGGAATTAACCCCTTCTGGGCCTCTCATCGCTCAGGAAAAATGGGCTTTGAGTAACCCTTTGAGTCTCCGTCTCCATCACCCTGGGGGAGAGGTGACATCCATTCCTCTCTTGACCCCACATCTAATCTATGAGTATCTCCTATTTTTTTTCCCCTCAAATGATCCTGAAGCCAACCACTTCCCAACAACCTCACCACTACCACAGTCATCCAAGTCACCATGATCTTTCAGTCCTGCACCAGGATTGCCATACTGATCTCCCAATGGTCTCTTATCCCCCTGAAGGCCAGGCATCATCTAAAAGGTAAGTCCAGAAACCCCCCAAAAGCCTTCTTAAAAAGTCTTACCCAAGTTGCCATGCCCCACCCCTACCTGTGATCCCATCTCCTGGCATCCTCCCTCTCCCACACCCACCTCCGGGGGTCTCTCTGACCTCAGAGCCCTTGCACCTGCTGTCTGCAGGACTCACCCCTCCAGTTGCTGCTCCACCTCCCTAAACCGATGCTTCCCTCTCCCCTTACTTGTCTTCACCTCTTTCACCTGACATACAACATATCTTCATGTTTACAATCNCACACCCACCTCCGGGGGTCTCTCTGACCTCAAAGCCCTTGCACCTGCTGTCTGCAGGACTCACCCCTCCAGTTGCTGCTCCACCTCCCTAAACCGATGCTTCCCACTCCCCTTACTTGTCTTCACCTCTTTCACCTGACATACAACATATCTTCATGTTTACAATCTATGCACCCCTATGCCTCCACCCCTGCCTAGAATTAGGAAAGGGGCTTTTATTACTGCTGTATTCCCAGTGCTCAGAACAGTACCAGACACACAGCAAGCATTCAATGAATGACAACTTAATCTAGCTCTCTACTCTGAAACCGTTCTCAGACAACTAATTCCAGTTTTAAAAAAACAGTAACAGAGTGTTCACACATTTGAATTCTCCTACCTCTAATGTATAAAAAATAATACCAAGGATGAAAAAGGTAAAGCTTCTTACAAAGAACCACAAAAATCTGACATTAGAACAAAATGTTGTTTGCTAAAATCAGGTGTTTCCTAACATCAAATCAGTTTAGATTAATTTCATTCCTAATCTCTTTTTTCATCCCCAGGTGCTCTCCCATATGTGACCCTTCCCAAGAAACCACCCATTCATTCAATAAGCATCTACTGAGCACCAGTGTCCAGCCCGAGAGAGAGAGAGAGAGAGAGAGAGAGAGAGAGAGAGAGAGAGAGAGAGAGAGAGAGAGAGAGAGAGAGAGAGAGAGAGAGAGAGAGAGAGAGAGAGAGAGAGAGAGAGAGAGAGAGAGAGAGAGAGAGAGAGAGAGAGAGAGAGAGAGAGAGAGAGAGAGAGAGAGAGAGAGAGAGAGAGAGAGAAAATGAATAAGTGCCTGTCCTGGGGAATTTTTATTTTAAATACCTCTGTATTCTTTTCAATAAGCCATTATTACTTTTTTAAGTATAAAAGCAAGTATTGTCACATTAACCAACCTTTTCTTTCTGCCTTCACCTATCTTCAGAAACTGTTTGGGGGGCAATAACAAATTTAGGCTCTAAGACTGCACTGCTAATCCCTGCATCCTTCACAGCCTCGAATACCTTGCAGCAGCATGATCCTATGCAGGACTTCATAAGACTTTGTTAATAGACTCAGCCAGGCACTGCTCACTTTTCTACAGCTAAAAACAGGCATTTACAACATGCAGCAGAGGAAGGAGTTCAGCTTTTCTGGCTTAACGCAGAAGCCTCAGCTCCCCAAGTGATCACTTCTTCCCAGTGAAGAAAATGGTCAGTGCTGAACTGACCACAAAGCAACAAGACCACACAGTGGTGATCTTAGGCCTCTGACCCAAGTTGAGCCCAGAGGAAAAAGAAGCCTCAGAAAGAAGGAAGAGGAAATAAAGCCCAGACAAGCTGGTGGCCGTCAGAGGATCCAGGCTTCTGAGTCCATGACCCACAGCTTCCATATAGCTTGGGTTGGCTCTGCAAACCGAAAGGTTACAAAGAAAGCCTGAAAAGATAGCTTTAGGCCACCTTAGGTGGGGTTTGGTTAGGAAAAAGGAACAATACTAAGGAATCCAAAACCCAGATTCTGTTTCCAGCTGTGCCACTAACTTACTTAGTAAGCTGACAAGTCAATTATTTTCTTTCCCTTTCTGTCAGATGAATACAACAAACTGGTTAAATACTGATTATCCAAAGGCTCACACACTTATATAACATGCCCCCAGAGTCACTTACATCCAATTTGGGGAAATCCGTTAGAATCTGTGAAAGTCTGTCATGGTAATTCTGTTGAGTAAATTTGACTTTTCTCATGTAAAAATGTCTGATTCGATGAATTTGGTAATGTTTATGAATAACTGTTGGAGTCTTCCGTTGAGTCTTCGATAATGTTAGATCAATAAAGTCCTGTAATTAAAGAAAGTAACAGAGACACAATTACATCAAAAACATCTGCTTTTCATCTGCTTATTTGAAAGCTTCTTAAAACACTAACACCTAATGGTACTACATTTTAAACTACAAAAATTTATTTTTTCTAACTAAACGTTTGTAAAAAACTTGGCTCTTCTTTACAGTTTCTGGCCTTTAAGAAACACTCACCAAATGGCTGCTGAAATAAATTTTACACCATACTTTCTTGATGCTATCATAACTTCCAAACACCTTTTAGGTTTTTACCACTGAAACTTAAGTAAGCAGACAACTCAAACATAAATCAGAAAAAATAGTGGTGAAAAAGAAACAGTCCTTCAATTTCAATTTTAATACACATATCTTTGAAGTACATAAAATAATGGGTAGAACTAAAATCCACTGTTTATCATTTCCTAGGAGAACGTAGGACTATTTGAGGATATAAAAGATTTCTGCATGAATTCTCCAGTGCACAGTCCCTGCTTCTCTTGAGTAAGGACTCTATCCCGGTGCCTCCACCATCCCACAGGCCTAGCCATATAAAACTACTTGCTTTTCTCTTGAACATTTTCATTAACTCAACCGTATTGGTCATTTTCTTCTACAAAGGATGATAGGGATTCTCAGGTGCTAAAGATAAAATAATGAGTAGGACATTGTCCCTTCCTTCAAGGAATTCAGGGTCCAGTGACAGAAAGGATACAGGTGATCACAGCACAGTCAGTACTAGGAGGGCACGAACGTCCGCACCTGTGCCTACACGTGCGATCTCATCTACACTCTTCTAGGGGAGTCTACACCTCCTTCATCCTTAGGAGCCTGTTCAAAAGCACCTATTTCATCAGGTTTCCATGGCTCTCCCACTCACCACAGCGAGTGTTCGTATTCCTGGTACTAGAAAATGACTTTTTACAAAGGGCAGGTACCATGTCTGGTGCACTTTGCAACCACGGTACTGGGCGCACTGGCCTGTCGCGCACTCAATAGCTACTCGAACAAGCCGCATCCCATACTTTCCTGGTGTGTTGGGTTTTTTTCCACTTCCAATCACTAAAGGATCAGCATCACCCATCTTCTAGACGTAAGTGAACTCATCTGTCCTCTAGAAACACAAGTCGCACCCAAGACAAGAGAAGGAGGACGCTGGACTCCTAACACATCCTAATGTTCTCTCCATAGGTCACTCACATGCACAAAGACCGCAACAAAAACTCGGTGCACATCCCTTCAACAAGCTAGAGAGACGGGTGAGACCAGAGACGCGGGGAAGAGGCGCCCGCTGCGCCTGCGAGGGCACGGCCCGCGAGGCGGACGCCCGTGGAGTGCGAGCGGGGCCCCAGCGCGGCAGGACGAGGGCGACTCGGAGACTGAGACCTGTCGAACCATCCACGGACGAGCTGACTCCGAAGGCGCCTCCTGACCCCGGGGCACCTCCCCGGCCCTCCGGGGACCCTCCTCTCTCGAGGGGGATCCTGGTCTCGGGGGGAGACCTGCCATCGGGGAGACCCAGGTCTAGGGAGGAAACCTGGCATCGGGGAGACCCAGGTCTCAGGGGGAGCCTGGTCACGGGGGAGACCTGGCATCGGGGAGACCCCGGTCTCAGGGGGAGCCTGGCCTCTGAGGGAGCCTGATCATGGGGCACCCTAGCCTCGAGCACCCGCACCCCTACTCTCGAGGGGACCCTGGCCTCGAGAGAACTCGGTCTCGGGGAACCCTGGTCTCAACGCGACGCGGCCCAGCGGCGGGGACGCGACCCCTCGCCGTGGCCGAGGAACAGGACGCGGCGGCAAGGCTCCCGGCCCCTACCTTGGCGGACGGCACCACCGTGATTTTCTTGAAATTGTAGTGCGCCATGCTGGCTGAGGCGCACGCGGGACGCGGAGAGGCGTCCGGACATCCGCCTTCGGGCGGGGCGGGACTTCCGGCCGAGGTCGTGCCCCAGCCGCACCCCCGCGTCGCGCAGCGCCCCCGCCCGGTTCGGAGGTCGGTGGGGCGGGGCGGGCCGCGTGTTCCCCCGCGCCTGCACCGTCCCGCTTGGGGTTTTTCCCGGGGCGGTGGGGGACGGTCATCCGCAGACGTCTCACTAGGGCCCAATCAACCGTGAGCACCCGGCGTCACGGCCGGAGTTTCGGAACCGGTCCGGGCCTCGGTCTAATCTTGAGCGAAAGCCGCTCGCGTGAGCCGGAGGGTTCTCTAGCGTGCTTGTCTCCAGGGAAATTCTCTTTCTGTGTTGGCAAAACGTCAGGATAAATTGGTCCAACAGATTGTACCTTAAAAAGAAAGAACGGGAGCTCGGCCCCGGGCGAAGAGGCCGCCCCGCCGCAGCCGCGCGCCGCCTCCCGGGTCCAGCCAGGGATTGGGGTTCCCGCCAGGGAGGGGGGAGAGTCCCGCCGGGGGAGGGTCCCGCCGAGGT